TTGCAGAGGGCGTTGTGAGACCTGCGGTAAACAATGGGAACTTTCTCCTGCGCGGGGGGTGCCGCTGCCTGCTGGCCTGCTCCGAGTGGGACGCGGGTGTGCGAGGTTGGCGCTCCCCTGAGCCGCCCCTGCCTCGGGGGTGACGGTTAACGCGCTTGTTTTGGCAGAGACCAGCTGCTGGATGTAGAAGGGGAGTAGGACGTGCGCTCGGAAAATGCCTCTGAGGGACAAGTGTTGCCAGACTGACCACCACCACCATGGATGCTGTGAGCCAGGTATGGTGCCCTGTGATGCTTTGGCTGTCTTCCTCGCCTCCTTCCTTAAAAGCTTGTGGAAACTGTTGTGATGATGCGAATGCACATTGTTACTGACAGGTTTGGGTGGAAAAAGTTTCTGGAGTTTGTTTGGAAAGTGTGGGTTTGGTTTTTTCTTTTTGTATCCGTGAACTGTCACGTTAAAACTATTTCAGGAAGATAATTTCTGAGTTCCTGCAGGATGTGCAATAATTGTCAAGCCACCACATGGTAAATTTAAGCAGCGAAAGGCAAGTTCAGTAAAACAAATAGCCTTTTTGTTTCTAAAAAGTGTAGTAGTCGTATTTTTTTGTAAAATGACATTTCTGGCGCTCTCTTGCATTCTCTGAGTATGGTTTTACTTTACATCTTCTCTGGTGAGCTCTGATGGACTTGAAGTTCTTGCTCTTGGAGAATAAACCAAACAAAATCCCCAATCCTGAAACGGCTGTTTGCATTCCACTGCTGTGTGATATGGAAGATGACATCAGTATAATGAATACTTTGAAGGTTCAGCCAACTTGCTAGATTTTTTGGTAATTGTTCTGCCTACTCTTGTAATCGGTAGCCTAAAAGGAAATTTGGCTCCTTTCTCGTTGGCTTGTTGTAGAGTTTGTTGTTTGGATGCTTTCACTTTTTTGGAAAACAAAGGCATCAGTTTGGGGAATTAATAGTTGCAAGCGTGAGCCTGGCGACTTTGATAATGCTCCTTTAATTAAATGTAATTTGAGAGTAGTAGAAACATTTCTTTGTGTTTAAGATGAAATGGTTTTGAGTGCTAATGCTTTAAAAAAGCTAAAATTCTTTGCTTGTCTTAAAAGTAACAGCAGTGTGTTATGTCTGCTTCACGTACATCACTCCTCTTGATGTCAGTGGGTGTTGCACACGCATATTAAAGGCAGTATGCAATCCAAAATATACTATTTTGAAGAATAGGGAATATGCTAGTAGAATACAATATGTCATTGTGTTAGAGATCCCCAAACGATTAGCTGATTTGTAATGGTTGTTATGTGTTCGTATATATAATAGTATATTATGGGGCCAGCATAGTTGGGTGCAGTGTTCTTTCTTTCCAATGTTCAGCTTGAATTTATATATAACTTACGTCTCTTAGAACAACTTTCCTGTCAGAATGTGTTTAATCTGTTTGCACTTAATATCTCTAAATAGTTTTATACTATGCCTTTTACTGCTCTTTATCAAAAATAAATTTCTTAGTGATGCTCAGTGCTTCATTTAAAAATGGAAACTTTAGAATGGGGTTAAAAATCAAACCAAATGGATAAGGTAGTCGATTTATGAAGCGCAAAGCTAGTTTGTTTGTCAATAAGAAATTTAAAAAAAAAGACCTAACTAGTGATTTTAATAATATAACTTAAGTGCTCTTATTCATTTAAATTTTGTTTTCTCTCTAGGCAAAGCCTAATTGCCATGTATGCATATACAGCAATGGAATGCTATCAGTTTTCATATGCATAAATACTGTATATTGGAATAAATAGTAACCATCCTGATCAGTAAATGTTTTAGTTTCAGTAGATTTTTACAAAGAATGTGATGTGGGATGAAACTTCAGAAATAAGGTATTACTTCAGGCATTTGCTTGAACCAGAAACATTTCTGGAATGTGGTTTTATTGGTAAAAGTATTATAATAGAGATTTTTGGTATATACTAAGTAGTTATGCTTGTGGTTTTTCTGATCATTGCTACTTTAAATTTGGATTCAGTGCTTAGATGTGTATGGGCAACGTTGAAATCACATAATATGCTGTGAAGTACAGTAGATGGTAATGCTTTTTTGTACATCTGCTTCAGTTTGAATGATGGTAGTCAAGGGAATTGTTCTGGGCAATTGCTTTAATTGATGGAAATTTCTAGTGAGTTGATTTGGTTTTATGTATCTATGTTTTTGTTTGATACATGTAGATTTGAATATGCGTTTTCTTTAAATAATCAAAATAACAGCAAACTGTCAGAAGGCATCATGGGTGGAAAAGTCAGTATTGACAGTTTTTAAATTCAGCATAGGTGAAAATTTCTGGGTAAGGCAACTTCTACTCTTGTCCTGGCCTTTCTTTTTGGCTAGTTTACTCTATTCACAGAAAATCAATAACTTAATAAGCCATTAGAGAACACTCCGGTGATTTTTTTTTTTAATTATCCTTTGATATATTTCAGTGCATCTGTTGGAACCTGGTGATCCTCCGTTACTACAGCAGCCCCTGCAAACATCAAAATCTGGTATTCAACAAATCATTGAGTGTTTTCGATCAGGTATGAAACTGTGGCTGACTGAAGAAGTTCATTGCCTTGTTATAAGAGTTATGTATATTTAATATATTAAAATAACCAACTCCTGACTTTTATGTATTTGCAAACTATTTGCAGGTTTTTGTAGTTAGGCTGTTCCTTTTAATAAGGGTTTTCATATAGATTAGTAAAGACACAGCTCCTGCTGTGTAGTTTTCTTTCAAAAACATTAAAAATTAGTTTGTTGTTCTGCTTGGTGTCATCCCTTCTGCTGTTATGAATGAGTTTATCCTAAAACTCTTGAGATGAAGAGAAAATTTAGTGTTTACCTTGAACTGTTTAGGCTTGCTTTATTGTGTTACACTTAGGGTGTTCCTTGATTGTTTTGGGGAGTTTCGATACATGACAATGAACCTAAGAATAACAACAGCATTTGAGTGCGCATGCCGGAGACCATTGAAACCTGTAATTGTTTCTAGCTGTTTCTCTGCTTAGAATCACAGAATGCTTTGGGTTGGAAGGGACCTTAAAGATCATCTAGTTCCAACCCCCCTGCCATGGGCAGGGACACCTTCCACTAGACCAGGTTGCTAACGCTTCTGATATGGCAAACCAAACATTTTGTTTTCACAACCCTTGGTGCAAGAACACAGCATTAGTGCAGAAATTAAAGTGATGTGTTTAATGCTACTATCTGTGTTTCTAGATTTTTCCACAAAGAGCTGTTATATATATGAAGCGTTTCATGTATAAATCATCACTGCTATGCAATGTGATGCATGTCTCAGCCGAGTCTTTTAAAAGGGCATGGTATCTAAGTACTTCACTTGCATTTCAACAACTTAACACAAGAAGGAAAACTGGATGTGAGACTCATCATCAGTAGCCTTTTTTTGGTTTGGTTGAGATTGCCTAGGGCCTCAGACATGCGTGGCAAGCTTCTTTCGCTTGAAGCAGATTAATGAAATCTCTGCTGGTAATAGCACGAACCAATTACAAGTACTCTGTCTCTGGGCTGCTTCCAGATGGTCCTCACTGGCAGGTGTTGAATTGATAGCTTACCTTGACATCTCCAGTCACCTGCACCAGCGAAGTTGGACAGACAGCAAAAGGGCTTAGACCAAGGTTTTACTGGTTAGTTTTGAACACAGTATTAAGAAAAGAAACTATTTTGATTCTTGTGGTAAAGAAATAGAGATTAAAGTTAGAGTATTTTCCATAGCAATTTAAGTGGTTTTAGCAGAAGCTTCTGTCCTCCAAAGCAATAAGAATAACAGATGGATTTGAATCTGAATTTTTTTTCTAGTGATGAAATTGCTTGCTGAAGGTGTAAACTTTGGTATTTCTGCCAATGACGTGTTTGTAATCACCAATGTTCTGTACTCATTTCTTGTAACTGGGATGTTATTCTAGCGGCAGCATTTACAAATATTAACAGAATTTGACAAAGTATCACCTGCCCCAATTAGATGTGCTTGTACTCTGCCCCTGTACTCTGCTCTGGTGAGACCTCACCTGGAGTGCTGCGTCCAGCTGTGGAGCCCTCAATATCAGAAGGATATTGACCACTTGGAGCGAGTCCAGAGGAGGCCACGAAGATGATCAGAGGGTTGGAGCACCTCTCCTATGACGAAAGGCTGCAAGAACTGGGGGCCTACAAGGGCGCTGGGAGAGGACTTTTTACAAGAGCGTGTAGTGATAGGACAAGGGGTAATGGGTATAAATTGAAAACAGGGAGGTTTAGATTAGATATCAGGAAGAAATTCTTCACAGAGAGGGTGGTGAGGCACTGGAACAGGTTGCCCAGAGATGTTGTGGATGCCCCATCCCTGGATGGCTTCAAGGCCAGGCTGGATGAGGCTTTGAGTAACCTGGTCTAGTGGAAGGTGTCCCTGCCCATGGCAGGGGGGTTGGGACTAGATGATCTTTAAGGTCCCTTCCAACCCAAACCATTCTATGATTCTATGTAATTACTAAATAGAGAAGGCTTTGGTAAGCTGGAGGCAGCATATGCTGGCAGGAGACTGCTCAGTGCCCCAGTCTGCAGTTGGTGAAGGAGATGATTATTTTTTTCCTCTGCCTTCTGTGTCCACAAAACTAGTGGATGGTTTCAATTTATTTGCTGTTTCCAGAAGTCCCTAAAGGTCTACAGTTTAATTCAAAAGGACCAATTATTTTTCACTTCCAATGGTGAAAATCTTCATAGCTGCATAAGGATGGTTTGAAGAGTAACTACCATGTCATCTAGTCTGACCTCCAGTAGGTCATAAGTTCTTTAATCTCATCCAGTAATTCTAAAACCAAATAATTTGTATCAGACAAAAACATTGCAGTTCTGAATGGGAAGAGACTGAAATATCAGTGTAACAGGAGAGAGAATGAGGGACTTGTGTGTCCCTTGAGTGGGAAGTAGTGGAGAATTGCATGATTTTTTGTTTGTTTGGGATAGGGGTTTGTGGCTAGGGCATGCATCAACAGCATGGCCATATTTGGGCTTATTGTGTGCTATCGCCAAACTGGAGGCCTTTTGTTTGAATTACAGTTTGGTAACTTGCTGGAATTTTATCTACATGGAGCATCTTCAGTTTTGTTCAGCTGGGTTTTTGTCAGTGGTTTTCTTTATATGCAGAAATTCAAACATTGGTTGGTGATATCCGAGTAAACAACTTGCTTTTGAGGCAACTCTGTACAGTTCTTATATTTGGGGTTTTCGCTAAACCTAAATATTTGTCCAGTAGCCTGTCTGTAAAAAATGGATGGAGGTGAGCAACACTTGAAGGGAACAGTGAGAGGAAAAGACAAGCTAGGGCTGTGGCCCAGGAAAGACATAGGTGGGGACAGAAACTGGACAGTAGCCTCAGATAGTCAAGTTTTGGGCTCATTTTTAAGCAGCTGATGAAGAAGAGATCGTGCTTTGCTAAAACTTAGTTATAAAAAGTTTTGTAGTACTACTGTTACACCAAGAAATAAAAAGTTGTCATGGTAAGACCTATTTGTGTTGAAGAACTATTAGTTGTTATGAAATTATTAATATTTGAAAGTTTTGTTTCGGAAATAGTTCTGCAGTGTGAGTCTGAGTTTGATCTTTAAAAGGAATTGTTAATGAAAGTGTCTTCAAGAAGAAAACTTGAACTTCTATTCAGCACGAAAAATGTCTTGATGTAATTTCGTAGTTGACTGACTTTATTCTTGGTCCAGTTTCATTGTATTTTTGCTTGTTGGACTAATTTTGATTAGTAGGAGCTTAGAGTATGCATCATAAACTTATAGTGCAGTGGAGTAGCATTAGCACAAGATGATGTTAAAATTGTCATGTTTTAAAACATTTTCACTTTTGTGGGATTATGTGAATTAAAAGATGAACAGAAAAACCTTCCTTAAGTGTAAGATTTTTTTTTTTTTCTTCCCCATTTACAGGAACAAAACAACTTAAACATATCTTGTTAAAAGATGTGGACACCATTTTTGAGTGTAAATTGTGCCGGAGTCTCTTCAGAGGATTACCAAATTTAATTACCCATAAAAAGTTTTATTGTCCTCCAAGTCTCCAGATGGATGATAGTAAGTGGTGCTAATAGAAATATTTAATAAAGTTATCTGGAGTTGAGAACCTTATCTTTCTGTACCAGAAACAAAATGCCGAAAAAAGAAGTGGAATTACATTTCAGCAGTAACATTTGTAGGTCACTTTTGTGGTAGTAAATAAGCTACAGCAGTGACTTAATATGCATTAACAACCAAGACCACGTCAGTGTCATAATTTGACAGCTAGTTTATACATCCAGCCTTTTAATGAAGAATGTCACTGTTAGTACTTTTTATTCCTCCTTCCCCTTTTTCTTTCCTGTCTTGCCCTCTTTACCGTGAAAGATACAAAAGTTATGCCAAAGGACTGGGAAGGTCCTTTGGAAGGTGTGGATCTAACAAGGCTTTCCAATTGTAGATCAGCATAGTTCTGGTGGACTTCAGCTGAATCCTGTAAAGTCTCCTGGATCAACATCCATAATTTTCTCCTGTACTTGTGAAGCCCTCAGTGTCACAGACTCATGACTTCAGTCTTACTTGTTACGAAACACAGATTAAAAGTTCACACCTGCTTCAATAATACTATCTCTTTCCCACCACCTCAACTTACCTTAATGCTACTTTAAGATACTCTCTGTGATCGTGCCTAGCCCACCACCTTTGTTGTATAAACTTTATTATTGAAAGAAAGTAACTTAAATGATAAAGGGAAAAAATAAAAATTTATATTTTTATGTGAAAAGAAATATTTTAAAGTTTCATTCCAGTGATGACTTTCTTGGTTTGGGCAAAGGAGAATAATTTGGAGATGTGCAAGCAGTCAAAAATGTTTTGTAAAGCTTTCTAATTAACTTGATCTCTTGACTAGATCAGCATAGGGATGGTGAGGATTTTTCTTTCATGATTAATGCCTTCCTGCCTCGGTATTTCAAAAACTAGGAATGAACAGAGGTTTACGTAGGTGACTTCCCACATTGTGTGAGCTAGTGCTGTGGAGGAGAAGGTGTAAAGACTAGTACTGTCACCTTCCTTAAATGAGTGTGCTTGGCCAGTTGCAGAGCATCGCAGAGCTTCTCGGTGACAAGGGGGGAGTTGTATTTTCAAAGCAAGGTTAGAAGTGCATCTGAGTTGGATGCATTTTCTAAGCAAAATAAGATTATCCTGCGTAAAGACTTCCCATCCAGCTCCTGACATTCTAGCCTTCACTAAATGAAGCCTTCATAAGCCTTCACTTAGGCTGCTTACCTTTCCTATTTCCCTGTTCACTAGGAGTGCAAATGAAGGGAGTAGTACTACATGCTCTGAATAAAAATATATAAATACTTAATTTTGTATAAAATTATGATGATTATAAAGTGGGAGGTTTTCTTTAATAAATAAAAAGATAGTGTACAAGGGATAGGAATGAAAGTTCAGCATTCAATGGTAAAAAATTTCAAAGACTGTTCCCTGATGACTTTTTTTTTAAGTAGTATTCTGTTAATGTGCTCATTAAGTTGTCTGAAAAGATGCTGTAACATAGGAAGAATTTTTATCTTTGGTTAAAAATTACACAGGTAGTCCCATTTGAAACTGACTGCAAAAGGTGTTAAAAATTCAGTGTTAAAAGATGGGTTCTGAGCAACAAAATGGCATGTTTCTTGTACTGACACTCTTTTCATGTGTTGCTGTCAGTGTGGGAGAAACAACCCTAAGTGTGTGTTTTTAATCAGCTTTTACCCAGAATCACATCTTCAGATCATCGTGGATAATTTTGAACTGTATCGTCTCAGTGCCTCGCCTTTTTGCTGTAGCAGCTTGTCATCGTCGTTATGCCGGTGCAGATCCTTAGCCTATCATGCTGGGAACTGCATCACTGAACTGATTTGGCACTGAAAACCAGATTGCTGAGGCCTGTAGAGTCATGAATGACATGAAGATAAATGGGAACAATAATTTTTTTTTTTTTTCATAATAGAATAGTAATATTGTAGGGTATCTAGCAAAATTACCAGAGAGTAAAATTATCAGTATTTCTGGTAAAAAAGACAAAAAAACGTGCTTAACATTGTGGTAGCCAAGAATATAAGTTCTTCAAAATCATTTGAATAAACTTTTTGGAAACTTGTTGTATTAAACCACGACTTTAAAGGCAAACAGCTTGAGAAGTTTACTGGCGTGAGGCAAACAAGGAGAATCCCTGTATCTTCCTTTCTTGCTTTTTAAGTCTGCTCTAACTCGTTACCAGGGCAGAATACAGGATGAGCCTTTGGTGAACCTCAGTGAAGTTATTCTTAAAATAACTTCTTTGGCTCACTTTTTATTTGAGAAATTAATACAGTTTTTTTTTTCTCCTGAATAATACAGGATTTTTCTGTCCCTAACATTTACTGTCTTACTGGATCACTGAGCCTATTAACTGCTTTGATATTACTAGAAGCTTTCCCTGCCCCAGAAGTTAAATTCTCTCTTATCTACTTGTATCTTCACTCGGTGTTCAGGTTACACAGATGTTTCATTTTTTCTTAAGAACCTTTCAGCATTCACAGAGAAGAGCTTATTTCCAGAATTGGGTTCCTTTGAGACTGCCTGTTTCCAGTAGTAGGAAAATCAGTTTCTAATGATTCTTCAGGCTTAGTTGCACACCTGCAGAACAAGCTCAGTCATATGACATTATCTTTGCAATTGATACAGATTTTTAAAGATTGGTTTAATTCCAGGCAAATTAATTTTTAGTTTAGATGGCTTTCACATGAGCATGCTCGAAGGGTGTACTTCCAGTATTGGATTTTAATTAAAAAAATAACTTGTATTGACGTGATAGTAATGATGACTGAAAGCCTTCAAGTGGTCAGAAAAATAGTGCAAATACAGGATTTGTGCAAATTTCGTGACCAAATTGTCACAGTGGATAAAAGATACTTTGAAATTTAAATAATGTGAAATTACCAAATCATTAAGTAATACTTCTGTTTCTTTTCACAGACCTCCCAGATATAAATGATAAGCAGAGTCAAGCCATAAATGACCTCCTGCAAGCAATCTATCCAAGGGTGGATAAACAAGAATATGTAATTAAATTGGAACCTATAGAAACTAATCAGAATGCTGTATTCCAGTACGTATCAAGGACTGATAGCCCAGATGAGAACACAGAAAACAGTACTACTCCTGATCAAGCTCCAGTACAGGTACAGGAACCCAGCGCTGAGCAACCCAAGACTGTTGCAGCTCCAGCCCCAGACCCAGCTGGGGACACTGCAGAATTACCTCCTGCTGATCCTGTTGTGAACAAGGTGATGGCCACTCCTGAAGAACAGCCTCCAGCAGTAAATCCTGAGATGGACTCTCTGGATAATTCTGATTTTGGCCACCAGTTGATATGTTGCCTTTGTAGGAAAGAATTTCATTCCAGACGCAGCGTACGCCGGCACATTCGAAAGGTGCACAAAAAAAAGATGGAAGAGCTAAAGAAGTACATAGAAACAAAAAAGAAACCAAATAAGTGCTCTGCGAAAGGACGAAATAAGAATGTTCTCGTATCACTAGGTAGAAGTTGTCCTGTATGCTATAAATCATTTGCTACAAAAGCCAACGTACGGAGGCATTTTGATGAAGTTCATAGAGGATTAAGAAGGGATTCCATTACTCCTGATATAGCTACAAAGCCTGGGCAACCTTTGTTCTTGGATACAGTTTCTGCTAAAAAATCTTTTAAGACCCGAAAACAAAAGTCGTCTTCAAAGGCTGAATACAATTTAACTGCATGCAAATGCCTTCTGTGCAAGAGAAAATATAGTTCACAAATAATGCTGAAAAGGCACATGCAGATTGTTCACAAGATAACTCACTCTGGAAAGAACTCTAAAAGAGAGAAAGGACCCAACAATACTGCCAATGGCACAGAAATAAAAGTAAAAGGTGAACCAGCAGATTCTGTAGAACCTTCACCCCCTTCCATTGCCCTTTCTCCGCAGAATGAATTAAAGGGAACAAATCATTCAAATGAGAAAAAGAGCACACCGTCAGCGCAGAAAAATAAAGTTAAACAGGACCCTGAAAACCCTAAATCAACCACTAAGTCAACCTCTAAATCAACCACTAAATCAACCTCTAAATCAACCAATGCATCTGCTGCAGGTGGCCAGCAAAAAACCAGGAAGCCAAAACTTTCAGCTGGCTTTGACTTCAAGCAGCTTTACTGTAAACTCTGTAAACGCCAATTTACTTCCAAACAGAACTTGACAAAACACATTGAATTACACACAGATGGAAATAACATTTATGTTAAATACTACAGGTGTCCACTCTGCTCTTACGAAACACGTCGCAAACGGGATGTGATAAGGCATATAACTGTAGTTCATAAAAAGTCACCACGCTACCTTGGGAAAATAACTGCAAGTTTAGAAATTAGAGCAATAAAAAAGCCAATTGATCTTGTTCTAAATAAGGTGACAAAAAGAGGCCCTCAGAGGGATGAAACAAAACAGATTAGTTCAAAACAGGATGTCACCTCTAATTCTCCCAATAAAAAGTACGAAGGGGCTGATGTTGGCATTGAAGTAAAAGTAACAAAAAACTTTTCTCTGCACCGATGCAATAAATGTGGGAAGGCGTTTGCCAGAAAAGCTTTTCTAGAACATCATAAGAAAACCCACAAAGCAAATGTATCTCATTCACCTGAAGAGAATAAAACCAAAGGCAGAAGTACAAGATCTAAAGCTGTTGTCTGGTGAGGAAAAAGAAATAGTGTTTTGTCTTTTTTTTTTTTTTTTTAAAGAAAAAGAACAAAACCACAGCCTTTCTTTGGTGTTGTTCATTTATTACTGAAAACATAATTTTCTATAGATTTTATGGGTGGTTTAGCGGCTTCAATACTAAGGTAGATGTCAAATTTGTTTCATAAATTTTGTTTCTAGTGTTTTGGAAAAGAGTTAATTTCTGAAGTTGTCATTGTAGGAAGTTGGGATAGAATATAGATTGTACTGAGTCAAATCTTTAAAATTGTCTTAAGGCATCTATTGTAATCAAGCTAATATATGTACATACCTAAAATAGTAATTTTTAAAAATTAACAATACTTTGGTTTGGTTTGTTTAATTTAACCTGTTAATTAACTTCTCTGTGACCCAGTTGAAGAGGCTCTGAAGGTACTACGGTAAAAGCTGTTGACAGAAAAAATATCTATGAATTCATGGGAATTATCATTCGTGCTTTTTTTTTGTTGTTGTTTTGGGTTTTTTTTTAGTTTTAATGTGTATTGCCTATGCCCTGCATAGAACAGGTTTTTGTGGTATGTAATTCGGATGCTGAATTGCTTTGATTTAAAATCAGTATGAGTTAGGTGTCTACAAACACCTTTAAAAATTACTAGTTTTAGGATTTGATTCTTTCACTGCTTATTTATATAAGCATGGGTTTGGAGGCTTCTGGTCATTTATTTTTTGAAGTGTTCAAGTTTCCTGAAGAATTTTTGTTTTAAGCCTAAATATTCTGGCCAAGAATTTTCTGAACTTCTGCTTATATGGTACTCTGGTATTTTCATTACACTTGGAGGGGGAGAGAGGGTGTTGTATTTGTAGTTTCTCAGTTTTCCATAGCCTTCATATTAAAGATGGCCTATTTTTTAAAGGACCTTTTAAGAAAGGAAATAACATATGTATGCGGTCAGTTTGTATTTCAGAATGACCAACTGATGCCTGAAGGTTGGGGGATTGTACAGAACACTGTAATGAAGAGAGACAGTAGTGGTACCTATAAGAGTTTTTAATGTCCCTATTCAGAATTATCCGTCTAGCGCAGAGAGACAACCATGTATATGTGCCTTGTTCTGTATATTTCAACTCTGAAATGCTATTTGCCAGGAGGTGATTTAATTTGAGTTCAGCTTTCGTAGTGAACTGTCACCTGATCTGTGTCGTCGTTTAACCCCAGCCAGCAACTGAGCACCACACAGCTGCTTGCTTACTCCCTGCCCCCAGGTGGGATGGAGGAGAGAATCAAAGAGTAAAGGTGAAAAAACTTGTGGGTTGAGATAAGAACAGTTTAATAATTGGGAAAAAGAAAGATAAAAGGGCGTACAAAAGTGATGAACAATGCAATTGCTCACCACCCATCAACCCTTGCCCAGCCAGTCCCTGAGCAGCAGCTCGCTGGCCAGCTTTCCCCTAGTTTGTGTACTGAGCATGACCTGTTACGGTATGGAACATCCCTTTGGTCAGTCTGGGTCAGCTGTCCTGGCTGTGCCCCCCCCAGCTTCTTGTGCCTCTCTAGCCTTCTCAGTCGGTAGAGCACAAGAAGCTGAAAAGCCCTTGACTTAGTGTAAACACTGCATAGCAACTACTAAAACGTCAGTGTGTTAGTAACATTATTCTCATAGTAAATCAGAAACACGGCACTGTACCAGCTATTAGGATGAAAATTAACTCAATTCCAGCCAAAACCAGAACAGTATGTTAAATCATAATCTGGTGCTTTTGTGACTTTGTTACAAATCCTGGCTAAGTGAGATGGAACTTCAGAAATGAGCTGAGCTGGACCTTGAATTATGCTGAATTTAAGAGGAGTAACTAATGCATTTTGATCAAGAATTAAAAATTTAGCCTTACGAATTATTTATGTTGTGTAATTTAAAACAGAATTATATGGGTAAACTCTAAAGTATTAATTTATTCCCATTTCTCCTCAGATAGGTTCAAGTGATGTTCGGAAAGTTTGGAGTTCATTTGAACGAAAAAGACTTTAGTTTGTCAGAACTGCTAATTTCTTGAAAATGGTACTGTAAGGAGGAGATATTTTCGTAAGCTGTTGTTTTCTTACTAAATTAATAACTATTCTGACTGACTGTAGGACAATGCCTCCTCCCAAAACACTGAAGTAGTTGAAATGCACATCTGCTTCTAAATTAACAGTTATCTCTGTGCAGTTGAGGTTTGACACGGTATAGAACAAACTTTCTGAAATTAAAAAAGTGACAGGGGCATGTTAATGAGCAGCAGCTTTGGAAGATTTTTGTTCCTCGTTTAGGTAACCAGAGAGCTCATGGTGCATACTGGTCCTCCCCGGTAGTGCTAATTAATGGACAGCTCTAACTTTTGTGATGTCCTACTTTGGCAAATGTTGTGTTATATACTGTTGTAAATTTATTACAAATGAATGTATAAGAGCAAACAGTGTAGTGTATGTTGGCAGAATTATACTAATTTTTAGTATTTGCCATACCATCAGTTTGTTCATATTGACTAATTTCCCAGTTTCCGGGACATTCTGAATTTCACTGTACTGAAGTTGCTTCAAAGACCTCCGGTTTGTTTCCATATGTGGTTCATAGGAAAACTTTGTAAACATTTAGGAAGTTTACAAGAATATTCACATTCCTCTATTCTTAATTTTTTTTTTTTTTAAAGTTATACACAAGCACTTTAATGATAGTTGCAGTTTATTTTTTCAGTTTATTTTTTGAAAGATCACACACTAATGTTAATATGAAGGTAGTGAATATTTGCTGATGTATTATAGACAGACAATCTGTGCACAACCACTTATAATGTTAGCTTATTTCATTAAATATTAATAAAAAGGGAGGCTAGTATGGGAGAAACTCAAAATATTTTTTCTCTCAAGACATGAATGACCACTATAGATAGCACTTGACTTTGTGTGATTTGGAAAATGCTTTAGATACCGTTTTTTAATGTTTTAATCAGAATTGTAGGATCACAGTTGCATGCCTACCACTGAAATTTTTGGTGGGCTTCATGTGTCAGTGGTTTGGAGGTTTTTGTTTTTGGGGTTTTTTTTTTCTTTTTGTTACTTTTTAGAAAATACTTTTTTTAGTGATTTGTGTCAAATTGCTACAATTTGAAAGGTATTGTACATCAGAAGAAATACCACATTTTTTGTATAGGTTCACTCCCTTACTTAGGGAGGTGCCTTGTGTTCATATATACTTTTTGTATAAAATATATCTAAAAATGTTGATCCGAAGATCAGGAGTAAAAATACTTTTATGGATAGAGAAATATTTGGCCCTGTTAGTGCATTGCACTAAAAATACTGTGAATGGGAACTGGACTGCAGCTGTTGCTCAAAATGTTCTATATTGAATGTACATGCTTATGTTTGGATAAATGTACTGTATTTGATTGAAAATAAAACAGACTGGACAACACTTTTAAGCGTGCATAAACAAAAAGATGTTGGGTCTGTAAACCTGAAATATCTGTCACTCCACAGTCGGAAATCACCATGTTTACTCTCTGATCCCTGAAACTGGTTGTTTGTAATATTCTGTTGTAATAAATGGCTCTTTTCTGTAATTAAAAGTTTGGCACTCGTGGAGTGAACGCTTCTCCACGCTGATGATTGACCCTTGCTATATTTTTAGAAAACGCTATGGATACTGGCTTTTTGTTCCTTGTAAAGGTATCTCTTCCTTAACTGAGCAAAGCTTGTTTTTATTGTCCCTCTAAACGAAAAGTGACTATTAACTTTGATGGAGATAGGCTATGTTGGGGTTTTTAATAAGAAAATAGGGTTACCTAGTTTTGCGTTGCAAATAATGTTGGTGACCATCCAGTGTTACTTCTTTTTATGGTTGGAATATAAGAAAAAACCTGCCATAATCGTTGTTTATTCTTTTGTAAAGACATCAAGCTAGCGAGGCAGTGCATTTTAACTCATGTTCCTAAATGCCTATGGATTGAGATTAGGAAATTAAAATGCAGGCATAGTGATAGAATAACTTCACTTCTCAGCTCACCCTTATGGCTTCTGCTGTCCTGGGTAAGTGTGCAGTCTTCATCCTGAAATATTTCAAAGGTAAGCTGTCTGGTCCCAAAGGAGCTCCAGTTCTGTGTCTGTGTAGATAAACAGTTACGAAATTGTTTTGTTCTACATGAAGCTTTGGGTAGCGTATTTCTTGAAGATGTGGCTTCGTAATTCGCAATTGCCACAACTTTTTTTAGTATCTTCTCATGAGGTTAAATCTGCTGGGTAGCTCTTTTGAAGCACAAGTTTCCTTTTCGTTCTGACTTGTGGAATAGCTTTGTTTTCTGTTTTTCCAATAATGAAAATAAATTATTTGATTATGATGGACTTGTTCAATTTAGCTTTTTTTTTTTTTATCTTTCCATGCAACCGTCTTGAATGAGCGGAAAAAAAATTTGAAGGGAGAAGGTTTGTTAATTACTGGTTTTAATTCACACAATATGTATTTTTTGACAAATCCTAAAAAGTTGTAATAAAGCTTTGAATATAGTCAAGATCCCTGCGGGCGGTTATCTGTGGGATTATGCATTAATGTGTCAGGATATGAGTCTTTAATTAAGATGCAGTCTTGCATCATGGATAAGGCACATTGGTTTGGCTTGTTTTGCTTGGATTAGCCAAAGACAAATGTAAATTCTTTAGTGGGTTTTTGGAATTAAGATTGTCTTGTGAAAGAAATTTTTATTCAGAGTGAATGTGAGCTGCCTTATGGAAAACTTTGAGGATGACCTAAGCATTCTGTATGGAAGCCTAATTATTTTAAGTGGTACGTACCTTCTGGTGCTAAGGCTTTGAGAGTCTAGCTTTAACTGATGTGAACTCTTGCATAAACAGCAGGTGAAACTCACAGATAGTGGTGGCACCAGGCTTGCTGAAGTCTAATATTAAAGTGCTGGCTTCTGTCTCAAAACCACCTTTTCTTTAGTTAATCATCTCTCAGCTGGGCATGTATGGTCTTCCTGGTGTT